GGGGTAGGGACTCTGCATCTCTGCTCTCCTGTCCTTTATTATGTCCAGGTAGACTATGAGCAGTTCATGTAGCCATTACCCACCTCATAGCCCCATTATGCTTATTGGGGCATGCAGTAGCAAGGAACAGGGTAGAACTGTGTGTTTAGGGGGGCTTGGAGCAGCAGGGATATATGGGTGATCAGAGCAAATAACATGACAAAGGGAATATTGGAGTAGTTGAAACATCGTGGAGAAATATGGGAGGTCCCAACAGTGAGGGAGGAACATGGGGGTGTTGGAATAGTGCATGGATTTGGTGCAAAGGAGGAGGTTATAGTTGTGCGGTGGAAAATGGGGGACTTCAGCTCTTTTTCACCAACATTGTTCCTGCATCTCCAGTGATCGCCTCTCCAGAGAGAAGAGAAAGAACTGGACAGGCAGTGAGGTACAGGAGACTAGGAGAAGATGCAGGGGCAATGAAGGGACTAACATGCAGTCAGTGCATTCTGTGACTGGGGTAATCGCTGCCAAGAAGCTGGAGGCAGTGGAGGAGGAAAACTGGGCTTTGGTACATAGAGATGCTGAATTTATATTTGTTTTGTTTTTAAAACCCAACTGTCACAGATCCTAGGGAGCGCTCCCTGCTGGCCACTTACAAGAACAACTGTAAGGGGAATCCAAGTCTCTGCTGCTCGGGATCCCCTGGGGTGTTTCAAGCTCCTGGAGTATGAACAGAATGCAACCACTGCCCCTATATTGGGGTCCCTAGGCACAGAGGCAGGGTGCTGACCTTCTATCTACCACTCCCCTCTGAGTGTTGGAACCTGCTGTCTAGCTACCTAGACCCACTGGGCGCAGTGTTGTTCCGCCAGACTCCCTGCTGTGTAAACATGCCTTTTGCCTAGAATTCTACCCAAAAGGCGAGAAGTTTCTAGTTTACAGTTTAATTTCATTCATGCCCACAAAGATTACATGAAAATACTTGTACCTAACCAGGAATATGGAAGAGTTGTTACTCCTCCATTGTGAACTATCCATTAACAACCATACAAGTCAATAGAGTAAAGGATGTGGATTTTAGCTGCTTATTTCCTGTTGGTGGAGGAAGGGAAGTCATAGCTATCTCAAGTGTTATTATTCTATTGACTTGTATGGTGGCTAATGGATAGTATACAATGGGGGAGTTAGACCTTTCATACTCCTGGTTAGGTACAAGTATTTTATGTAATCTTTGTGGGCGCTATTCATTAACCACTATGCAAGTCAATAGAGCTATGACTTACCTTCCTCCACCAGCAGGAAACAAGCAGATAAAAACCACATCCTTCTAAAGGAAGTCAAAATTATGGCAAAATATCCCTTGGCAGGATACTATTTGAGGTAATCACAGAATTACAGGATTATAAGAACAGCCATACCGGGTCAGACCAAAGATCCATCTAGCCCAGTATCCTGTCTTTTGACAGTGGCCAATGCCAGGTGCCCCAGAAGGAGTGAACAGAACAGGTAATCAAGTAGTCCATTCCCTGTCGTCCATTCCCAGCTTCTGGCAAACAGAGGCTAGTGACACTATCCCTGCCTTTCCTGGCTAATAGCCATTGTGGGACTTATCTGCCATGAACTTATCTAGTTCTTTTTTTAACCCTGATTGTTTCTATGTAAATGTAGGAAAGTCTCCGGGCTAAACACAGACCGTGAAAAAGCCAGTCTCCACCAGAGTCAAAAGTTTTTCCTGGCAATTGTGGGGGCCTAAACTTATCCATTTCTGTGTAATCTAAGCTTCTGTTTATAAACCAAAAAAGCCAATATTTTTATAAATTACTGATTACTTTAGATATCTCAATATTTGGGTGTCCAACTTGGGACATCTTTAAGGAGCCTGAGTTAGCACATGGGTGTTCAGCATTTACTGAAAATCAACCCCCCTACAGGGAGACTTGATGTGAGCAATCAAAAAAACAAAAACAAAAAACCACTGTTCAATCTTGGCCAAGTTTTCAAATGTAAATAATGTTTTCATAGAATCAGGAATTTGAAGAGCCCCTAGTGATGCCTGAAGCTTTTGCCAAGCAGCAGAGTGAAATTAACAAGGCTAATCAGTTTTACTGCTCTCATTTAAAACCCTTTGGGCAGCAGTGAAGCTGTTAAGAGTCATATCACTTGTTTACAAGTCTACATCTGTAGATATTAACAAATTTACAGCCATTAAAGATAATGTAAGTCTTATGTCAGCATTCTTCAGTGAACTCTGAACTGTCATTTATTGTCAAAACCCTGTTACCAGAGTGTCCACATTGTCTGATAAATCCCCTTAAAAGAGCATCTGCATCGGAAGAATGAAAAATAAAGGTTTAATTTCATAACTTAAGTCCTCCATTGAAACACTATTAATAGTTTCCCAAGTTATGTTATCAGTCCACTTTTTTTCAGATTCTAATACCCTGATCTGAAATTGTGCAGCTTTCACTTAAGTAACTGAGTGCTAAATTGTAAACTGCTTGCTTACTTTGAACAGTTATTCACACAAGTAATCCTGTTAAGTTCACTGGTGAGCAAGGGGTTCATATTCAGGCCTTTTATCAATACACTGGGACATTTTTAAAGAGAGGGTCAAGAGATTCAGTGTTTGAAAAGAATTATGGCTATATGTATTTCTTATATCTGAGAATCCTAGAAATGTAGGACTGGAAGAGACCTCAAGAGGTCATCTAGTCCTGTCCCCTGCACTGAGGCAGGACTAAGTATTAGCTATACCAGCGGTTGGCAACCTCTGGCACGCTGCTCGCCAGGGTAAGCACCCTGGCGGGCCGTGCCAGTTTGTTTACCTCTCACTGGCCGCGGTTCGCCGTCCCAGGCCAATGGGGGCTGCGGGAAGCGGAACGGGTGAGGGATGTCTGGCCGGGAGTCTCACTAGAAAATTTGCTTTCTAAGTTTGACTAGCTTTTGTTCCATCAATGCACTAACAGAGCTGATCTCGTAACAACAGTGGGGCAAGGGTAAATTAGGAAATTTTCAAAATTACTACCCTATTAGGGTAGCACATCAGTGATCCATTTAAATGTAGAAATTGATCACTCTCTTCATTTAAGGCTCTTTGGAAAGTGGTGGTGAGGATTAGCGTGGAACAATGATAACAGGGCTCCTCCTCCTCTATACTGTACCCCTTTTATGCCTGTGCTCTATCCAGTGTTTCACATGCCATATCTGCATATCAATTCAAATACCCTAGTTCTCCACACATACACACCTCACCATGGGAAAAACCTGTGTTGCTCTTGTCCATTATGCCACCCACAACACCTTGGCTATTCCATTCACCTGCCAATCCTGATAATCCTCTATCTGCCTGAAGGACATAGGTTACTAGGATGCTGCTCACCTAACTCCATTATATGGGTGTGTTAATGAATTATCAATTATTTTTGTGGTGTTTTCTTTAAAGGTGCATAATAAAAAATTTTTTGGACTAACACTGAGCAGTCATAATTGTTGGCTAATCAGATTTGTGTAGTAATCCATGTATATTCTCTGAACAATGACAGGAGCAGCACTGTGCCAGGATGCCCTAAGCAGCTATCCTTCCCTACAGCAATTGCTCAGCAGCTCCCCCACTGCCTGCCTGCCACACCATAGTACAGGAAGGAGAATAGTTAACATCTTTGGCTATTTTGCCTGCTTCCCTGCTAGGCTGTGGGAGCTGCAGGGAGATTGTGATAGGAGTTTTGGGTATGTCTGAGCCTAGGTGAGTGCCTAGGAAAGAATGGCTCTTTCCCCTATATAGCCACCCGGGAGTGAAAAAGAGAAGCTGAGACCCAAAAACCAGTTATGGCTCCCTGCATCTCTGCTCCAGCCTGGGGTCAGTTTATTGTGCTCCAGTTGGCAAAATGTTCCCAAGGGACCAGTTGGTAGATAGCAACGTGCTCCAATCACTCACCAGTGCATGAAAGATGTGAAGTGTAGGAGCTGGCTGTACCATCTTTAAGCCATATTGGAGTCTCCTTCACATTGAGAAGTAACCAGCAAGGGATGTGTCAGGGTTCCTTCCCCACTCTGAAGTCTGGGGTACAGATGTGGGGACCCACATGAAAGACCCCCTAAGCTTATTTTTACCAGCTTAGGTTAAAACTTTCCCAAAGCACAAGTTCCACGTTGTCCTTGATCGCTGCCACCACCAAGTGATTTAAACAAACATTCAGGAAGGGCCACTTGGAGCCCTACCTCCCCCGCAAAATATTTCCCCAAGCCCTTACACCCCCTTTCCTGGGGAGGCTTGAGAATAATATCCTAACCAATTGGTTACAAAGTGAGCACAGATCAAACCCCCTGGGTCTTTAGGACACTGAAAAACAATCAGGTTTTTAAAAGAAGTTCATTTAAAAAAAAATCACCTCTGTAAAATCAGGCTGGAAGATAACTTTACAGGGTAACAAAAAGATTCCAAACACAGAGGATTTCCCCCCTAGGCAAAACTTTAAAGTTACAAAAACAGGGATAAACCTTCCTCTTAGCACAGGGAAAATTCACAAGCTAAAACAAAAGATAATCTAACACATTTCTTTGCTATTACTTACCATTTCTGCAATACTAGATGCTTAGTCCAGATATGGCTTAGGGAGATGTATTTGCCCTGCCCTGGTTCCTTTGCTGACTTCGAGAGAACAAAACAAAAGACACAAACAAAAAACCTGCCCCCACAGATTTGAAAGTAGCTTCTCCCTTTATTGGTCCTTTTGGTCAGGTGCCAACCAGGTTATCTGAGTTTCTTAACGCTTTACAGGGTAAAGAGGGATTTTATGCTACCCTTAACTGTATGTTTATGACAGGATGTGTAGCAGCTTCCACTTTTTGCATCACCAGAATACTGCAAAAGGAGAGGAGCAGAGCTCAGAATCTACACCAAAGTATTGATTTGTGGCCTCTTGACCTTTTTGATATAACATGTTTGGTCCTTATGCTGTAAAGCTTAGACTTCATTGCTGAAATATGATTTTTTTTCCCTTCTTTTCTTTGCAAAATAGTGCTCTCCCTCGTTTGTTCTTCCTTGTTGCCTTGCCATCAACAGCATCCCAGACTCCAGTGACATGCTGTTTGAATCCATTTGGTTCCAGTGACATAAAGAAAACACCTGGAACAGAGTAGTTGGGGAACTGCACAAGAAGTTGAATGGAACAGTGCCAGCAATAACATCCTTAACACATTAGTTAAAAAGAAAACATGCTGATGCTGACAGCCCAGTTAACAACTTTCTCATGAAAGGTGACACGTTTCTTTTAGCCAGTAGGCGGCTATGTTTTCCAATAGACTTCTTTCCTGCAAGCTTTTTTTGTACCCTAAAAGAACTTGAGTGGAGATGAAATCAAATCTTTAGGCAGTTGTTTTTAACAAATTCACTGTCAGTTATGTGAAGCAAAATCTATCTTCAGTACTGCCCCGTGTACCTGCCAATAACAGGATGATGCCCTTGTACCTGTCCCCTCCATGGGAATGTTGCCTATGAAAGTGCCAGTATGAACATGCCTAAGAATGTAATCATGTTCTGTTGCTGCACAGAACTTGTAGAGGAAACATGCAGCTGTGAGGTTAATCCGAGTTTAATAGTATAAATTTCAAAGCTTGTATGTATTGTTTCTGGAGCGTTAGGAGATCTGGTGTTGGATGTGGTGGTAGGTTTTCTTTTTTCAAAATTGTCTTACCAGTCAGAAATAGTGAGTTGAAGTAGCCTGCACATTTAAGTGGATATTCTCTATTGTTTGTACCTTAAATTACAGGTATGTTAGGAGAAAATGTAAACTCCAGGCTGAGACTAGACTAAAAAGGATTACTCAGGGTGGCCAAGGGTTCTTTGTTACTCCTCCCAGAAAAACTTTAACATACCTGGGTTTTTTTTTGATTTGACACTAACAAAGATTTTAGTCAAAATAACAGACTGCCTAATATTAGGCATAAATTCTATACTAGAATAAACATAAGATTTCCCCCCCCCCACCCCCGATTTAAAACCAAATAGTGCAAAAGCAAAACTTCAGCATTTGCATTTCTCTTTAAAAGCATACTGTTGGGGGGTGTGTGTGTGTGTGTGTGTGTGTGTATATATATATATATGTGTGTGTGTGTATATATATATATATGTGTGTGTGTGTGTGTATATGTGTGTACACACACAGTAGATATAACTATGCTAGACACTTGCCAAATACATAAGACATAACTCTACCACAAAAAGCTTTCCTCCTGATAGTTTAAAAAAAATCCCAAACCACTCAGCATTATAATACAATCAAACTTCTAACTCTACTAAGAGTTACACCTCTACCCAGATATAACGCTGTCCTCGGGAGCCAAAAAATCTTACTGCATTATAGGTGAAACCACATTATATTGAACTTGCTTTGATCCGCCGGAGCGCTGCTTTACCGCGTTGTATCTGAATTCGTGTTATATCGGGTCGCATTATATTGGGGTAGAGGTGTATTCCCTCTTTTTATACATAAGGAATGCTGAGGTTTCAGACCCAACTGCATGCACTTGTCAAATTGCTAATGGTTACCCTAGCATTTCCTTGGATATAAAATCAAATTTCTCTTTATAACAAGTAAACATTACGCTATCTGTCAACAGCAAACTTAAATTGCAATGTCTTTCTAGGGTATGTTGATCTCTCTCTCGCTCTCTCTCTCCTCCCCCCCCCTTTTTGTTTGCCTCATATTGTATCTTCTATATATCTGTCAGTCTTCAATCAAATTTTTCCAATTGTTCAAGTCTAAATTTCAGCTCTTTCTACATTCATCTATCACTTCTTTTCAAGACATTTCTCTGCTTTTGTGGCCTGCTCTGCTTGTTTCACTCACTGCCTACCCCCACTTTCTCTCTAGTGTTCTCTCTGCTATTTGGTACAGCTTTATGCATTCCTAAGCATCAATCCGGTTGCTAGTTGTTAGATTTATTTTGTCCATCACTGGTGCATGCAAGGATGGAGTGATAAGCTTGCTCTTCCTGTGGAGTTCCTGAACTACATGTGAGAGATTCTCTCCCTTCAAATGACAACTCTGCAATGCTTGCAAGCACTGTGCTGCCCCAGTATTCATAATCGTTGATTTTTTTTAAAACGTTTGTAAAATGTGAGTTGGTGAAATGGATTGTTAGTTTGTGTTTTTGATCCGTTTACTCTGGTTCTGTCTCTTATCAAATCTGGTCTTGTGTTCTCGCCGGTTGTAGTTTTCTCTTTTTTCCCCTCTTAGCCATCTACCTCTGGTTCCCTTTTCTTTCTACTTCTTTCCTTGCCTTTCTGCAAACACTCCCACTGAGGCCTTGGCTACACTTGAGAATTCACAGCGCTGCCGGTGAAGCGCAAGTGTAGTTGCGCCGCCAGCGCTGTGAGAGCTCTCTCGCAGCACTGCAAGTACTCCACCTCTCCAAGGGGAATAGCTTGCAGCGCTGCGAGCAAGCATGCAGCGCTGCAGGCGCTGATTACACTGGCGCTTTACAGCGCTGCACTCGCTGCGCTCGGTGGGGGGGGGGCGTTTTCACACCCCTGAGCGCAGCAAGTTGCCGCGCTGTACAGTGCCAGTGTAGCCAAGGCCAAAGTAAACAGTTGAGGGGTGCAGGAGCAGCTCCTCTATTTTACTGCTCCCTTTCTTCTCAAAGTTTTAAGTGAATATAAAATTTTCTATGCCACACTGATTCAGTAGTACATCTACAGAGCTAAGACACTGCTGGAAGACTTTGCATAGGAAACTGTTTCAGCATCTGTTAGCTTAAGAAACCAAATCCAGAATACTTGGGGATGGGAATAGAGAAATAGAGGCATGGTTTTGTCTGCTGCAGAGTATGTGATACTGAAGCAAAAGGTTGAAGTGCTAATCATTTATAGTTGGAAGGGCTTTCGAAGAATTACTGTTAGTGACTAAACAGTTAAACATTAATCTAAGTTGTATTATGATATGATTTTAAGCTTAGATCTTGAAGGAATTGACACTAATCTTATAGTTAGAAAAACTTTTAACTGCAGTTTAGAAGCAGAATTCAGTTAGTCAATGTTTATGGAGTGAGATAAGTGTGGTAGTAACTTTCACAGATAGACAACTGATCTATAATCTGTTTATCTTATTTTAAAACTAGTCTCTTCCTTTGTCATTTCTTCTCCTGCTTCCTAAATTACAATTAGTTGGGGAATTTGGTTTTCCTGACATTGTTTTCAGTAGTAGTAGTGTGTATGGTGGTTTTTGTTTGTTTGTTTGTTTTTTCCAGTGACAAAAGTGGAGGTAAACTTATGTAGTAGGTTTAGGAGTGAGGAATCTGCAGAAATCAGAAAAGCTTAAAGAAAGACCACTATCAAATCCAGACAAAAGAAAACTGCTGTTGCAAGTTAATGCCATTCTTTTGGTACTTTTGTATTTTAATGGTTTTGATACATTTCTGCTGTTGTTTAAGCAGCCTAAATTATTCTCCCTTCAGTTCTGTTTTCTTTTGCTTTTCTTTTTTTGTCTGGAAAACACAGTGGAATCTAGTAGGACAGGAGGCAGCTTATTCACTATTTTGTGGCTCTGTCACTGGCCATTGTCCTTCTGGCTCAGTTCATGTCACTTCTTGTGTGGAGTAAAAAAATGCCCATTTAAAAAAAAAAAAAAAAAAAAAAAAAAAAAAAAAAC